CGGCCACCAGCTCGCCAGAACCATGCAGCAAACCCAGAGCACGGAGCAGGGCAAGCCCCAGGGCTGGGCTCAGCTGGGCGCTGCCGAGAGGGGCTCTGACGCTCGCTGAGGGCATGGTCCTGGCCCCGTGCTGGGCTCCTGCTGAGCTACTTTTTGGCTGATTGGATCCAACAGGTTGGCAAAAGCTCTCCCCTTGTGCCCACCTCCCACCCTCCCATGTGCTTTCCCGTCGGCAGCCTTGCTCCAGGTCACTTTGCTCCTAAAGAGGCTGGATCGTTCCCTGGGTGACCATTCTCTGGCTGCACTGCCCTTTGTGCCCTGTTAAGTTCCTTCTGTCCCGGTGTGCTGGTGAGGGTGACAGCACAGGCAAGACAACAGCGAGCTGTGTAGTGTGCAGAGCGTGGCTCAGGGCCTCCTGGGGAAGCTCGGAGCCCAGGAAGGGGTTTCTGGATAGAAGAAAGGATCCAGCCAGGCTGTAGCTTCACACTGGTGGGACCGTGATCCCTGAGGCCTGTTTCAGACCCAAGGAGCAGTTCTGGCGTGGAAGGGCTGAGCCAGGTCTGAAAGGGTCGCGTATCCACAGCTGCGTTTCAGCTCCAGGGTCTTTGCTGGTGGGTCCTAAGTCATAGAATCCCAGAGTGGTTTGTGTTGGAAGGGACCTTAAAGCTCCTCCAGCTCCAACCCCTGCCCCGGGCAGGGACACCTTCCACTAGAGCAGGTTGCTCCAAGCCCCTGTGTCCAACCTGGCCTTGAACACTGCCAGGGATGGGGGAACACAGCGCTGGTCCCCTGGGGAGCCGAAGGCCATGGCAAGACCAATACCCCTATTGGTAAATGGAGCAGATCCCTTTGGAATGCCTGAAACTGGGTGTCTCTGGAGGGGAAATCGGGATGATCCCCGTGGGAGCAGCGTTCACACTGCAGCACTGAGGCTTCAACACCACATCTCCCACCCTGTGCAGAGCCTGATGCTGAAGGATGGTCCCATCTGTCCGTACCTGCTGCTGGTACCTCTCTGGACACCAGCTCAGGGCGCACATCTCGTCCCAGCCCCTTTTCCTGCTCTCAGCCTGGGGAAGCTCATGAGCCTTCAGCCTCCTGTAAGCAGCTGGAGCTGTAAATAATTTATCTGCTCTTTGCTCACTGTGTTTTAGACACTTGTACAGGTTTTGTATCCTTCCAGCATATCCTTGCTCCGGGCCTGCCCTCCAGCTCTGCCTTGAACTTGCCTCCCACCATTTACACGGCTCCTGAGTGGAAAACGACGCCGAGGTTGCACTTTACTCACCGCTAATAAATCTCTCTTTATTTTTGATATCCCTGGCATTGAGGTTCCTGCCTGGATTCCCCTCCAGTGCCTCCACATGGCACCCTCTGCTCCCATTCCCCCTCATAAACAGCTGTGGGGCTGGTGTTATTGCCCCACAGGCGCCTCTGCAGCCCACGGACCGCGGTGGGGGGAGCAAGTGGTCCCCCCCTCTCCCTGCTTAAGGACCCAGAAGTCCTTAATTCCCGGTTAAAAATAACCCGGGAGCAGATGTGAGCAGGAGTTGGTGATGAGGGAGCCGGAGCGTGAGGGCTTTGCGGTGGCTTAACAGCTTATGGATTCATCCCCCTCATCACATCAGGCGGGGGCTCCCCTGCTGCCACCCCCCCGGCTCTTCCTCCCCCCAGACCTTCCTCCTCCTCGGGGGAGGCTCAGAGTTCCATGGGGCGAGGTGGGTGATGGGGGGACGAGCTGCGGGGAGGAGACACAG